TGGACGGATAACGAGACTAGAACTACGAAGCGTAAGTCTCAACACTGGCAATGTTAAGAAGTTCTAAGCTTCCAGGAAGGGGTCCCAATGACAGCGAACATCTAAGGCTTGAGACACTAGCAGACATGACTGCTAATCAGTGTCACTGGCGCACTTCTCGCGAGACTCTTAATAAATGACTTGTATTCAAACACTTCTCTCATCTCATTCTTCAATTGTGGTACATTTGATAAATTTCATGCAATTAGTTATATATATATATATATATATATATATATATATATGCCGCTTAGATTCTCAAGAGAAAAACCGTTCAGAGTTGCTGTCATCAATAGATTACACTGCGTTATATGGGCTCAAAGGTTCATAAAAAAAATAAACCACTTTTTCAACTTATCGATTCGATTTGACTGTCGTAGGCTAAGCGAACGGTTACCGAGTATCAGTCAGTTTAGACCTCAGAGAAAAGGACGAAAATTTTGATAAATCAAGAAGCTCCACGTGGTTGCATGCTCCGTCCACACCGTCTGCCAAGCGGACAACAGATTCCTTAGGTAAAGACGCCTTAAACCTTCAATATCGATATGCTTCCAAGGAGGCCAAAAACATTTACTACGGTTATTTCATTAGGACTATTCATCTGGTCATGTTACTTTTTCTGTAATTTCCAAGACAGAAGCTTATTGAATCTCATAGGATCTGTAGAAACTGGGTTTGGTTGATAGTAAAATTAAATAATCAATTATTATGCTTACCCACGGGGAATGAACAGCTAGGTGTCTCAATATCTCGTCGAACCGCTACTTGAATAAATCGGTGGTTGGCGCACGAACAGATAGTAGAGTTCAAGGTGATACGAACTCTGAAGCTGCAACAGTGACTTCGGCAGTCTGGTTGACTCGTTTCGAGCAAAGGTTTAAATGGATGTTCTCTGCTGTGATCACTCCTGGATAGAGTGACTAGAGTAATACACGGGCTGTTAGGTTGATCTCTTATATGTTATACGATTATTGTCTCCCGGTATTCGACCGTACTCAGATGAACAGAATCCGCTGATTTGTAGCCTTTCAACGTATGTTTTCGGTTGTAAACGTTTGACCATTTTGGTCACAAACTCAATCCCGGGCTCAAAGCACGCCGAAATCTGGAGAAACCCTCTGATGCGACGATCTGGAGACGATCAATAAAACGCTTTCACTAACTATGTCACATTCTTACACAAAAATTTACCCATGTTCTCCTTATGGGTGATTTCAACTGCCCCAATCTAAAAAAATCAGCGACCGTCCGTCCATTTATCCAATATCAATTCAAACGGCTGATTGACTCGCATTCACTATACAACAATGTGAAAGTGGCCACTAGGATTGGAAACCTACAGTCGCCGTCCATACTGGATTTAGTGTTGACCAATGAGGAGCTGGTGGTAGAGTCTGTCAATGTGACTTCCCCCTTAGGACGCAGCGATCATGTAGTACTTACATTCAAATATGTTTGTTACGCTTCGATTCAAGGAGGTTCCCCAGGTAACACGTGCAGATCTATAGACTACACGCTGTTGAGTAACTGGGCGATCTCTACTCAGTGGATTTCCTATGACGAAGAATCCAATCCGTTGGTCGCCTGGAAGAAATTTATTGACAATCCCACAAATCTAATGACATCCGTGACTAAGACTAGAGAAATCACCAAATCGGGCATCCGAAATTCACCTATTCGAAGTCACACAAGGAAATGGCTATCGACGAGGGACTTATCCTGGCGAAATTATAATTGTCTTCGAATGCCGTCACGTGAAATAATTATCGGATGCCGAGGAACCACTGCACCAGGCCGATTCGTGAGGATAAACTAAAAATACCAAGAGACGATAGCAAAGAGATTCATGTTTAACCCTGAGCTGTTGTACAAACACGTCAACTCCATTGGGAAAGTAAAGTTTGGTATACCGGTACTAAGCAGCGCTGGAAGAGTTGCAGCCACTCCAACGAAAGCAGCTGAAATGCTAAAAACTCATTATTCCAACGTTTTCGCAGCACCGCAGGTTGAAGGTTTACAACTCCCCCCCCCCCCCCCC